ATAGTTCACGTGGGGGAGAGCATGCAATATCGCACATCAGAGGGAACTTATTTAGGAGCAACTATCAAACTTCAACGTTCACAGTTCTCCTTAACCAGTTCAAGTTGTGAGACAAGGAGTAACATTGCAACGTCCCAAGCCTCCGTGGTCCCGGTCACACCTCTCCAAATGAGTGCCCTCATCAGTGCACGAAATGTCGGAATTGCGGTAAAGTCGGTCACTTGGCAAGAGTTTGCAGATCTCGCACCCATTAATCGGCCATCAACAACATTTCACCAATCTGCGGTGAGTTACTTGATACTGATGCATTAAATTTGAATCACGTATTTTTCACAAACAACGTCACTAATAAGGTGCTATCATATCTGGTCAGTGTGAAGGTAATTGGTCTCCCGGCTACAGTGTAAATAGATACTGGAACAGCGGTATCACCTAATAATAAAAGGTCGTTTAGTTCTCTACCAAAGCTAGAACCTTGTACTAGCACTTTTAAAACCTATACAGGAGAAGTTATTAACATTCTCGAAACATTCATTGCCCGAGTGGAACACGCTGGTGTGACTCAGCAACTGCCGGTCCATCTGGTTGATCATGCCTCAGTAAATTTTCTCGGCAGAGACTGAATCAAGCGTCTACCGGATTTATTAAACGACTGGTCTGCGAAGATTCCTTAAAAACAACTCTTCACCGATATGCACATATCTTTGATGACACAAAACTGGGAAAATTTAGGGACTTAAAAGCCAAAATTCATCTTAGAGAACCTTACGTGCCGAAATTTTGCAATTCCCGGACACTCCTTTACAAATTACGTCCTATGATGGAAGCCGAATTGAGAAGACTTGAACAGGAAGGAACAATAGAACCAGTAAGACATTCGAAGTGGGCAGCCCCAATTGATCCGGTATTAAAACCGGATGGTTACGTGATAATATGTGGGGACTACAAACTCACGATCAGTCGTTACGCACTCATCGATCGGTATCCGTTACCTAGGATTAAGGACTTATACACCGCATTAGCCGGAGGAAAGAAACTTTCTGAACTTTATTTGTGTCACACTCACTCTCAAGTAGAACGTGATTAACGTTCTCAAAACTTCACTACAATTGTCACACGCATAGGATTGTACAAAAGGTTGCCTTTTGGTATCAATGCAGCCCCAGGCATTTTTAAAAGGATCATAGACAACCTGGTGCGAGATATTTCAGACAGATGTGCGTATTTGGATAATATACATATCACGGGCCGAACAGAGAAGGAGCACTTGGAGACATTTAACCGCGTTTTACAGCGTCTTTTAGATAAGGGATTACGTCTGAAGAAATCCAAGTGTCCTTTTGGCTGATTCTGTTGATTACCTGGGCTATCGACTCGATAAGAATGGGCTACATTCACTACCTGACAAAGTGAAACTAATATTGGATACATCCGCACCGTGTAACGAACCTGAGCTACAATCATTCATAGGAATACTGTCTCACTACCGTCGTCTTATACCGAGTTTATCCATCGTTGTTTCTCCGCTCTATGATCTACTGAAGAAGAAAACTGGGTGGAGGTGGTCCCGAGGTGAACAAAGGTTATTTGAAAAAGCTAAACGTCTGTTGATCTCATTAAAGGTACCAGTACACAATGATCATGGGAATCCGCTAATAATGCAGTGCGATACCTCACCATTTGGTGTAGGTGCCGTACTCGGGCCTGCAGACTCTGACGAAATTATCCGCCCGATAGCCTTTGCGTTACGCACTCTCCAGCCGGCGGAAAAGAACTACTCCCAACTCGATAAGGAAGCATTGGCCGTCGTATTCAGTATCAAAAGATTTCACTAATACATTTGAGGTAACGTTTTTGAAATACATTCCCACCATAAACCGTTGCTGTCTCTATTAGGCGAGAATAGAGGAATAGAACAACTGAATGCACCCAGCATGGTGCGATGAGCACTCCTGTTCTCTGTCTACAGCTGCCGGATTCGCTATACCGCCGGTCGGAAGAATCTAGTTGCTGATTCCTTTAGCCGTTTGCCGCTCCGTACCATAACTGACGAGCCGAACGAAGTACCAGTAGAGTTTGTGCACTAATTGCAGCGACTGGATAACTCTCCAACATCTAGCATCGAGGTTAAACACGAAAAGGACAAGGGACCCAGTATTGTCTCAAGTAACAACGGATGATGTTGCACGGCTGGCCAGTGAAAGTCACAGATTAGCTCCGTCCTTACTTTAATTGTCGTTATGAACTGAGTCTTCATGACGAATGCATACTAAGGGGTTGTCGCATAAGTGCCCCAAAATCAGTTAGGAACAAATTCCTGAAAGAACTACACAACGCCCATCCAGGTGTAGTACAAATGAAGGCCCTCGCGAGATCATACGTTTGGTGGCCTCAACTGGACCGAAACATTGAGTAATTGGTGCGTAGCTGTGACTACTGTCAACAACACCAAAATACTAAACCATTAGGACCGATACACTCATGGACACTGCCGGACGGTCCCTGGCAGTGCGTGCATGCGGATTACTGTGGCGATTCTTCAATGGCAGTTTTCTCTTCTTTCCCCTAATTTGTTTGGTGGGTCCGTATCCGCTTGACGTGAACATTGTAGCATGGAAAATAAACAACTTCACAAAACACTAGTGTTCCCCACAGCAGACTAGGTTCAGCTATCAAACAATCCCGTGTAATTGAGGACTATCAGGACATTGTTACACTACCATAGCACACGGGTCAGAACTGACAAGGCTCAGATATATAGTAGTCATTTGACCGTCTGATCATACCTAGTTATCACAAGAACTAGATCAAGGTTATTCTTATCCTTCTAAGGTAAGAAATCTTTTCTTTCAATCTATTCCCACCAAGTATACCATCCAGGTTTTGCATGTATCACCATCAGTTGGCGATAGTGATCATTCTGGGAAATCTTTCTAATCAGAATTGGCAACTTGGACACTTACATGGTTAATTTTAGCTTTTAGCACTATCGTGTTTTTAATGAGCTCGACTAAACCGTTCGACCACAATTCCCCACCGTGAAGTCTCTATCGCACGCTAGCTGTGCACTTATTTGATCATACATTTCTATGCTCATTAAATACAAAAATTAAATGAGAAAAAAATCACAATAACAATACCAACAATGCAGACCACTGCCTACACAATGAAATCTCAAAACTTAAGATGTTTCATATTCTGTAAGCTTTACCAGTTCTCTCCTGCCAGACATCTATCCAGGGTAATGGCATTGTTCTCTACTTACTGTGCACCTTAGTGAAACGTCTTTCTCATTTATCTTTCCCATTTTTCAGATCTTGTTGTTTTACCAGATCAAGATCACCTAACGGGCCACGGCACGTGGTTGACTTTCACAGTCTGCACGCTTACCCATTCTATCTCGGTACTACATATAATATCAATACAATCGTGATATTAGTCGTTCTCTCTCTGTTTGGTTCGATTCTTCCTCCGTTGCTCAACGAAAGTATTCGCGGACACTATTATCTTAGACAATAAAAGCTTTACCAGTTGCTTTTCATTTTGTTTTCATATATTGCTCTACTAGTAGTTGTAATTCACCCTGAAAGCTCGCGCATAACCTGAACAGATTGTTCCCATTCTCTTTCTGGTGGCATTCAGTTGAGTAGCATGTTTATGTGTTTGTGTGAGGAGTCCATTCTCAGTGGATTAGACAGGTGGTCCCTGAAATACTGGTCACTTGTGATGTTTTCTATTTGTCTTCCTGGATTTGTCATACAACAGACTCTTCGGGGCATATAGCGGGTAAATTGTTGTAACAATAATCGGAGATCTGATGTCAAAGCTTCAATCATTTGAAAATTTTGGTGTGTGTGTGTGTGTGTGCACTACCTTCCACCACCACCTTGCCTCTTATTAGAGCTCTTAATTGGGGCATATCCACCGCACAGATGCCTTCAATGCGACGGGTCCGGAGTTCAACTCCGGGACCGGACGGTGGATATGAACTATTGATGAGCTCCAATAAGAGCGAAACTTGAGTCTGTGCTGCCTCCGAGTGTATGGTTGAGTGGAAGAGCTGCGTAATGTGCGTGAAGATGAAGTCTGCGGGATGGCCAGTTCAAATCAACCAATATCACTTAGCCCACATTACTACTAACAAGTAACTATGATTTAAATGCCAATTTGTCGTTTGTTCTACCGCGTCTCTCTATGCCATGCCATGAATGAACAGGGAATAATAGATCATCAAAAAAATGAAATATTTCACCAAATTGTTCTGTTCTGTGGTACTGTGTTGATTATGATCAATGGGACACTGAAACCGTTCTCACTTACCTGAATCACCAGGTAGATGATGACATTCAGAACCAAAGTGAGAATCAATGCGCCCAGATAGAACACATTCCAATCGCGCATGTGAATTGTGACACGTAAGTTCACACAGATGACCAGCAAAAAGTAGAACGCCGTAGATACCATGTTCACGTCGTAGTCGACCATTTTTCCGTCAACGCGTTGGAAAAATTTACCACTCGCATACGATGAGCCTCCACCGTAAATGTGGTAGACACAAAAAAATACCACCGCACCTTGCCAAATACCGTCCAATACGTACAGGATCAGGTTTTCGGGTCGTAGACTTCGATGACGGGAAATCTGGTGGTGGTGGTGGTGGTGGTGATGATGGTGAAATACATATCAATTATTAGCGAGAGAAATAGTGACTTAATTTTTTTACTGAATCAATAATGTCTGTTTGAAATCAGTACGATGGTGTAAATCAATCAAATTCAGCGGTTTATGATCCCTTTATTTATCCTGGATTGAAAGTAATGATTTTGCAAAGAAATACTATTCAGTGTGTCACAATTGGTATTGTCGTTAAACCATCTTCGGTAAACAGTGCATAGTTTTAAACATTCACATATGGATGACACTGAACAATTGGTGACATTAATTGGTGTTACCTCCGAAAGCCTCAGTATGGTCGGGGATGGGTGTCCCTAGTTGTGACTGGTCCCCCGTTCACTTACACCTCGCGAAATACTCCTATGTGATCAAGCATCTCAAATAGCCAATTCTGTTCAGGAAGCCCTACTCACTACCTTCCCATGGCGGAAGTGCCATTTCACCAAAGTGAAAAACCAACATCCGAAGTGATAATCGGGTCGGTGAATCCCTGGTAGTTCGCCAAGAGGGATTGGTTAAAATCTCCGATTCCAAACCAACCAACATGAGGCTTACGAACCACACCTACCTACACCTTCCTGTTTGTGGCAGTGATCATCGACTCAATTGGGTGTCGAGGTGTATTGGACACCTTGGAATTATAATTCCTTTCAAAGGGCTTATAATCCGACGGCCTGGACACCAGACCCCAATGGACTGCGGACTCCAAGCTCCATCCTGCTCACTCGCAGGTTTGGATTTCTATCCAAAAGCTTCGGTTGGGGACACATCGCCGGTCAAGACCACCGGGAAGAGACATGGCCACGCAGCCTATGAACACATTCTACGGATCTTTTATTTATCTACTGTTGCACATTTGCCAGTTCTATGTAAACGGTTACGTGTTGAAAATTTAAAAAAAATAAAGTAAAATAAAACTGACGTTTACTGTTTATTAAGTGGAATGTTTTGCTGTGTCCTTCTACCGGTTTCGCCGTAATTAGAATAAGAAAACTAGGGAAATTATGTGATCGAGGCAAAAACGCTTCTTTACAGTGCTCCCCTGTACTTACTATCAATTGACAGTCAGGATACAATCTACTTACTTTGGCATATAAAGTTGGATTGCGGAGAAGCTGTTGTGCAGTGAATGGTTTCTCCGTTGACCCGTACGCAATGGGAGCGAGTGTGGTAAACGTCAGACTGTATAGAATGACTTGCATCGAGTCAATCCATGCGGTCCCCGAGAATGCGGCAAATACGATGGCCAACATTCGGGCAGTCACAAACAGCGTGTTTTTGTAGTAAAACAGTAGCATAGTGTGAGTGACCCGATGTTGACACCAGTGTCCGTGAACCAGTAGCAACCGTTTCAGGTGCCTGACAAGTCAGCAGGAAGAAAGGATCGATGTGGGAAGGGGTTGGATAGGGAACCCAGGTGAATGGAATTAGGAAAGTAACTATTAAAGAACTTGACATCACTTCTAAGTTGTTGCAGGAGACAAAATGAGAAACGGTCAGATCAGCTGTGTGGTGTGGTCGAACGGGTCACCAGTTGGCGCAATGAATTCTCACTGTTGCTGAATTCCAATCAGGTCGAAACCGCTGTACAGTGCGCTTCCTATCTTTT